ACTGACGTGGGTCAGAAGTATTAAGAAACTTTCGAGTTGATGTAGAAAAGCCTTATTTTATTTCAAACAAAAAGAAATACTTATAAAGAACCGGATGGTGAATAGAATAAAAAATCTTCGAAACATTTGATACTATCTGAAGAAAATATCTGTTTGCGAAACAATTTCTTATATTGGTCTTTCATTTGCGATGGACACTGAGTAAGCACTTTGATTCAGAGCTGTAACGGATTGAAATAAGTGTAATCGGAGCGGCCGATTAAGAGTTTGAATCGGATCGGTGTATGATTCAGATTTTAATGGAAGATGAGAAAACAAATTTATTAATAAATGACAGCTTGAATAGATGATGGAATGACGATTGATAGAATAGACGATAGAATGACGATTGATGTGATCGTAAATTAAGATTAACTATTTTGATGAATGTTTTTGACTTTTCTGTTGTCATAGTTTTAATTTGACCTAATGGCGTCAGGTCTTCGAATCACGACGTGATTTATGTTGATCAGATTTTACACCAGCGGTTTCAGCTTTGTATTGATAATCTGCTGCCTCCCGCATATGTTCAGCGCGATCATGAGATGGACGTTTTTCATCTCGCGCTTTTTTCAAATGATCATTGCCAATTTTGTCATAAAATCCTTCTTTCGCCCTATAAGCAGCAGCTTTGAGAGTGTCCATATTAAATAAATACTGAGTAATTTACGTCCGATTTCGCAGGTAAAGAGTGAATCTTTCAGCTAAAATATGATCGTGTATTTAACGGTAATGGTTGAATGCATATTCAATCGTTACTCATAGCCTGACTTGAAGTACATTAAAGTATACATATTAGAAAATGGTTGTATGAATAAAACGTGTAGCACGATTGTATCTTGTTATAAGCTTTATTTTAACGAAAAAAGAACAAGAAAAGAACCAATTAGTAAACTAAGTAAATAGAACAAGAATCCAAGAGAAAAAACCATTGTAGATTATACACTTACTTATATTGAGTGCAAAAAATTGACTCATGAGGAAAACGATGTGTATAACATTTGTTTTGTGAACTCAATAGCCTTTTGAAACTGAATATTGAGTAACTATTTTGTTAGGATCTTCATACATTGCTTCGTTGTTGTTGGAGTCTTCAATAGAATGAGCTTAACTCAAAACAACTAAGTAGTTGTTGTTGTAACTTTGATACTAACAATGTGCAAAACGACACATTGTTACGATTGTTGAATTGACTTTTAAAAAAGTTAGACAATTTTGCCGAATTCGTGTCTGCACATTAGTGAGCATGTTTTTAACAATGTACAATTCGCGATCACTTCGAAAATGCAAACTGATGAGACATAAAAAAATGTTCAACAGTTAGTTTAGTTTAAAGTTTATTCATTCAAGAGAAATAAGAATAGTCATTTTACACGGATGCGGCCTAGGCGAGTATACCAGAGGAAAATGACATGGTAAATGATATAAGCTGTTACAGATGAAAAGTGCAACAGTTTCTGAATGTAATTCGCTTCTCAATACACTTCGCAGATTTGGTATGTTTACACAATGCTCGAAGTATCGGTTAATTGCACCGAAGTACAACTGGCTCGGGAAAGTGCCATCTGCGAATTC